CTCATAAACCCGATCTCACTTCCGCTCGGCATGCCTTAGTCTTGCAGATGAATCATTTCAGACTGCGGGCGATCAGGACCGGTTCTGGGGGCACTTTCATCGCTGTAATAAATCAGACAGGCTTTTGGGCCATTACGGTGCCCTAGCAGCCGTGGTTAAGGTTGTCAAGTGACTAGATAACTCGGTTGTTCCGTCTGAAGAATGGGCTACAATGGCTCTTTCTATGTCCTCATGCAAACCTTGTCCAAGTGAATATAGTTTAATTAATGAGGCTTGAAGGAGTAGCACACAACAACAGACGGGTACTTGGTGCCAGGGCAATAATTGATTTGAAATCCATCATAAGTCATCTTGACCTAAACTTATCATCGAAATACGATGGGTATGGCGAAATTGACATCAGGCAAGTTTGCCTCACTCGAATCCAACTAACGCATATGCTGTCGCTTCTCGAGGACCGACCAGCGTTGGCACTGTTGATTTCGCGCGCGATTATGAGACAAAAGACCGATAATAGCATGGGCCATATGTGCAGACCATTTGGGCGTTCACATAGGCTGCCATTGTAGGAACTTCGTCCCACGATGCAATTTAGGAACTAGGTGACAAACGGCAACAAGGGCAAAGCAGCAGCATACGCATCAAAATTTTACAACCAAGCTCCCCATGCCCAGGCCAGGCAGCTGCAACCACGCCCACGTTAAACAGCCAGCCAATAGTGAATGCCCAAGCAGGAGTCCAACGACTAACGTTGGCTTTGCCATCACGGATTCCATGAAGGCAGCACGCTGTCTGGCATGCAATGTCGCAAAGAACAAACCAGGAGAATCCCGCCACCCCCAAAGTTTCTGTACCCCCGCACTCTGCAAGACCACGTACGTTATGAGAGGCAGGCTTATCTCAGCAGTAATATCCGCAATATTAGATAATTTGGACGCGCACAATAAGTGTGCCACCCGACGTCAAGGGCTTCAACGCGTTATTTACTACCAATGCCAAATCATCCAGAACTCCAACGAAAGGGTTCAACGAGACTAGATTCAAGACGGATGTGGGAGGCGCTCATCCCACTTCAAAAGGCGTGAGGCAAAGAAATGAATGGGCTAAAATATATTGGATTTAGAGTATAGTACTGGGCACCGTAGGTCGGTTCAGTCCTACTTGTTAAGAAGAATGGCAGACTACAACGTGTAAAAGTCAAACAGGCTACTAAGAGAGTTAAAATAAGATGGCGCAAACGTCCAGTAAGCAACAATGGCAGCATCCAGTTAAAGCAGAAGACAATAGAAAATCAGAGTTGGGTAACGGAACTAAAAAAGCCGCAGGATAAAATATCGGAAAATGGCGCATTTGGCAGTGCGGTAGCCACGGAAGTAGGCCTGGAAGGGAGGGGGGAGGGGAGGACTTCTGTTTCCGGAATAATTTGAAATTGTCGGCCAAAAATACTCAGGCACAGAGGTTTAAAATTTCTGGGCGAGAGGGGACGGTATCCGTGGGACGACGGTGGGAATCTGTGATGGGCTGAACGGTCTCCCAACGAGATGGAATGGGGGGATCTGCAAAAAATAAGAAAATAAGCAAGCTCAGTTAGATATTTGTGTCCACTGTGAGATAGTTTTCTTTTATTCGAGCGTTCTGAGACTTTTAAATGAATAAAATAAAGCATTCGGGGCACTTTAACGGCATCAAATGAAAAGTCTGAAACCCCCATCACCTGTTCTGGATTACTTCTTACCCTGACCCAAGAGGCCCTACCAGCTTTCATTGTCTCTTACTGGGCGTAGGCTCTTCAAACAGGAGCCTGTGATTCACGTAAACATCAAAAATGACAAGCGGGGGAATGGACAAAAGCAAAGAAATAATGACGGTTGATCGAGGAACCAAACCTCGAGCCGATTATACGCAATTTAACAAAAAGACTAGCACGATCAAACGTTGACTTCCCCGGAAGGCGGCGCTTAATACAACAAACTATTTCGAGGTCGCAAAACCAAAACGGAAACTCGTATTTCGGGGGAGGGAGATGTTGTTAAAAACAACTAACGTATATTACGGGCCGCGAACTGAACCCCTAGCAGGGAAGTCCTTGGACTTACATACTCGTAAAATCAATATTGGTTCTATGACCAAAGAAATCCCACTTACCGTCCACAACACGTGAAGAACCGATCTCAGATGAACGACAAAATCGCATAAAAACAAAGTAGCAAACACCAGGAGAAGTCATGAAATGCACCAAAAGGTGCGTCAACTGAATAAAATCGACAGCGCATCTTCCGAAATACTAAGAAAAGTGCAGAAGACTGACTGTCTACGGCGTGGAAATCGTGACAAGGGTATTCACATGAGAAGGTTCGGACAAT